GATTTTATAAACCTCTGTCATATTCCCACTTAGTTGTCTCTTTTCTAAACTGAAGAGTCCCAGTCTTTTAAATCTCTCCTAATATGGAAGCTGTTCAATGCCCCTAATCATTTTTCCTTTCCTGTACTTTTTCCAATTCTAATATCTCTTTTTTGAGATGGGGCAACCAGAACTGCATGCAGTATTAAAGTTGTGGGCGTACCATGGATTTATACAGTTGCATTATATTCTTTTCTGTCTTGTCTATCCCTTTCCTAAGGGTTCCTAACATTTTGTTAGCTTTTTTGACTGATGCTGCACACTGAGTAGATGTTTTTCAAAAACTATCAGTGATGACTCCAAGACCCCTTTCTCAACCTGTAAGAGCTAATTTAGATCCCATCATTTTGTATGTATAGTTAGGATTATGTTTTCCAATGTGCATTACTTTGCATTAGGGCTGTCAAGCGATTAAAAAAATTAATTGCAATTAATCTCACTATTAAACAATAATAGAATACCATTTATTTAAATAATTTTGGATGTTTTCTACATTTTCAAATATATTGATTTCAATTACAACACAGAATACAAAGTGTACAGTCCTCAATTTATATTTATTTTTGATTACAAGCATTTGCACTGTAAAAAAAAAAAAAGAAATAATATTTTTCATTTCACCTCATTCAACTACTTTAGTGCAATCTCTTTATCATAAAAGTTGAACTTATAAATGTAGAATTATCTACAAAAAAAACTGCATTCAAAAATAAAACAATATACAATTGTAGAGCCTGCAAGTCCACTCAGTCCTACTTCTTGTTCACCCAATCGCTCAGACAAACAAGTTTACATTTGCAGGAGATAATGCTTCCCACTTCCTGTATACAATTTCACCTGAAAGTGAGAACAGGCGTTCTCATGGCACTGTTGTAGCTGGCGTCACAAGATATTTACATGCCAAATGCGCTAAAGTTTCATATGTCCTTTCATGCTTCAACCACCATTCCAGAGAACATGCGTCCATGCTGATGACGGGTTCTGCTTGATAACAATCCAAAGCACTGCAGACAGACGCATGTTCATTTTCATTATCTGAGTCAGATGTCACCAACAGAAAGTTGATTTTCTTTTTTGGTGGTTTGGGTTCTGTAGTTTCTGCATCAGAGTGTTGCTCTTTTAAGACTTCTGAAAGCATGCTCCACATCTTGTCCCTCTCAGATTTTGGAAGGCACTTCAGATTCTTAAATCTTGTGTTGAGTGCTGTAGCTATCTTTAGAAATCTCACATTGGTACCTTCTTTTCATTTTGTGAAATCTACAGTAAAAGTTTCAGAGTAGCAGCCGTGTTAGTTTGTACTCGCAAAAAGAAAAGGAGTATTTGTGACACCTTAGAGACTAACAAATATATTTGAGCATAAGCTTCTGTGAGCTACAGCTCACTTCATCAGATGCATTCAGTATAAAATGCAGTGGGGAGATTTATATACATAGAGAACATGAAACAATGGGTGTTACCATACACACCGTAATGAGAATGATCACTTAAGGTGAACTATTACCAGCAGGAGAGCAGGGAGGGGTGGCGGGGGGGAAGGGGGGAAAGAACTTTTTGTAGTGATAATCAAGGTGGGCAATTTCCAGCAGTTGAATGTCTGAGGAACAGTGGGGGGTGGGGAGGGGAATAAACAAGGGGAAATAATTTTACTTTGTGTAATGACCCATCCACTCCCAGTCTCTATTCAAGCCTAAGTTAATTGTATCCAGTTTGCAAATTAATTCCAATTCACCAGTCTCTCGTTGGAGTCTGTTTTTGAAGGTTTTTGTTGAAGAATTGCCACTTTTAGGTCTGTAATCGCGTGACCAAAGAGATTGAAGTGTTCTCCAACTGTTTTTTAAATGTTATAATTCTTGACGTCTGATTTGTGTCCATTTATTTTTTTACGTAGAGACTGTCCGGTTTGACCAATGTACATGGCAGAGGGGCATTGCTGGCACATATCACATTGGTGGATGTGCAAGTGAACGAGCCTCTGATAGTGTGGCTGATGTGATTAGGCCCTATGAATGTTTCCCCTGAATAGATACATGGGCACAGTTGGCAACGGGCTTTGTTGCAAGGATAGGTTCCGGGGTTAGTGGTTCTGTTGTGTGGTGTGTGGTGTGTGGTTGCTGGTGAGCATTTGCTTCAGGTTGGGGGGCTGTCTGTAAGCAAGGACTGGCCTGTCTCCCAAGATCTGTGAGAGTGATGGGTCATCCTTCAGGGTAGGTTGTAGATCCTTGATGATGCGTTGGAGAGGTTTTAGTTGGGGGCTGAAGGTGATGGCTAGTGGTGTTCTGTTCTTTTCTTTGTTGGGCCTGTCCTGTAGTAGGTGACTTCTGGGTACTCTTCTGGCTCTGTCAATCTGTTTCTTCACTTCAGCAGGCGGGTATTGTAGTTGTAAGAATGCTTGATAGAGATCTTGTAGGTGTTTGTCTCTGTCTGAGAGGTTGGAGCAAATGCGGTTGTATCGTAGAGCTTGGCTGTAGACAATGGATCGTGTGGTGTGGTCTGGATGAAAGCTGGAGGTATGTAGGTAGGAATAGCGGTCAGTAGGTTTCCGGTATAGGGTGGTGTTTATGTGACCATCGAAGCCCTTGAGGAATTTGGGGGGGAGGGATAGCTCAGTGGTTTGAGCATTGGCCTGCTAAACCCAGGGTTGTGAGTTCAATCCTTGAGGGGGTCATTTAGGGATCTGGGGCAAAAATTGGGGATTGGTCCTGCTTCAAGCAGGGGGTTGGACTAGATTACCTCCTGAGGTCCCTTCCGACCCTAACCTTCTATGATTCTATGAATTCCACCATGATTTCAACAATTTCCATCCCACCATCAACCTCAGCCTGGACCAGTCCACACAAGAGATCCACTTCCTGGACACTATGGTGCTAATAAGCGATGGTTACATAAACATATGGAATAGGGGCTTCCCACACAAGTGTATATAGGATGCCTCATAAAGGGGTGTGATTAGGAAGCTCATGTTTGTGTATTTGTGTTTGAGCACATGGGGATCTCAAATACCTGTGTGTTTGCATGGGGGTTCTAAAGGTGTGTGTTGAGAAGTATCAGGTATTGGTGTTTGAGCATGGTGGTGGGGGTCTCAATTAAGATTGTGTTAATGTAGATGAACGACCTCACAAAGCTGAATGCATATATGTGGGATGGACTTCAGGAATGGGTGAGTGCTTCTCTCTGGATCACAGGGCAAATTGTGCATGTGTCTGGCACGGGTAGCTGTGTGTGTAAGGGTCTCTTTTTTGGGGGGCACAGGGATGTGTATTGATGTTTTTGGAATACTGGCATGTGTGTGTTGCAATGGTCTCACTGACAGAGTGTATCACTGCCCTGATGTGTATAGGGGGAGGGGAGTGTGATAGATATAGCAATTTCCTTGCAATATCCTTGGAAAATCTTAGTGTATTAAATGCAAAGTTTATGTATTGTTGTGGGCTGGGATTGTTACCTCTAGCTGGGGAGATGTGATGTGAGGGCTGGGAGTTCAAAGGACTATACTGTACTGAAATTGTGCCAGCAAGAATGGATTTTTGGGGACATTAGGTGTGCAATGGATTTCCAGGAAAATACCTAAGGAGAGATTAAGGCAAATTCCCCACCTCTGGTTATGCAAAAACCCAGCCTTTTGAAGCTCTGCTCTGAGAAGAAAAGGAGTACTTGTGGCACCTTAGAGACTAACCAATTTATTTGAGCATGAGCTTTCGTGAGCTACAGCTCACTCACGAAAGCTCATGCTCAAATAAATTGGTTAGTCTCTAAGGTGCCACAAGTACTCCTTTTCTTTTTGCAAATACAGACTAACACGGCTGTTACTCTGAAACCTGCTCTGAGAAGGTAATTGTCTGCTGATTACCTATTCCTGGAGGTTGGAGGACAAAAGATCTGTATAAAGAAACAGGCTGATCTGCCCAGTTTGGGTTCTGGTTCTGAATCTGAGAGAGCTAAACACTTGTAAACATAGGGAAAACCCAGTTATGGGTTCATGGCTTTTAAAATGCTCAGTGGTAAACTACAACTATAGGCAATTACGCTGTTCATGCCGTTTGGAGAGAAAGCAACCTGCAGACGCTGGCCTGTTTAGGCCATCTGGCTTGTAGGGAACTGTGTAGTCTAGAAAAACCTTGGTCAGGAGGTGGAGGGATGCGGGTCTCAATCCAAGGCAGGTGATGGCTGAGGAGCCAGGAGCCTCGAGTGGATGTGCTTGGTGGGCCACGGAGGGGGGAATACAGATCAGATGCCTTGGACTGTGTCAGGGCTCTCTGGCACTGAAGTGTTTTCCCTAACCAGGAGCAGGGGGAGTGTGCGTGTAAGGGCCAGGGGCTTGGAACACTGAGCGATGTGTGGGTGTGGACCCCCTGGCAGCACCTCTCAGTGGGGCAGGGAGTCACTGGCCCCAGTGGGTGTATGTCTGCGGGCCCCTCTGAGGCTGGCGGCCTGGGCGGGGCGGTGCCCCTGGCACAGGGGTGTGTCTGTGCCGATGTTTCTGGAACATCCTGCCTGCTGCCCCCGCCGCCCGGAGAGATCTGTGAGGCCGCGCGTCACTGACGGGAGAGGAGGGGGGCGGGGCAGAGTATGCGTGTGTCAGGCGTTGGCTCGGTTGCCCCGTGCGCTCCCCGAGCGGAGGAGGAGGAGGAGGAGGAAGAGGGGGGGCGGGGGTGTGTGTATCTGTCTGTGCCTGCTGGGGGGGCGGACACAGTGGAAACTTCCACTCCCTGCAGCAGCAGCGCGGAAGCCGCCGCAGGAGGGGGCGGGGCTGGCGCCTCACGCACGCGGCTCAGAGGCGGCCCCTCCCCCCCGCACGCTTCGGGCCGCCTGCGACCCCCGCCGGGCGCCAGCCCCGCGCAGCCCCCGGCCGGCTGCGGGCCGGAGGGGGCGCGGGCAGGGGGGAGGGGGCGCACCTAGCCCGGCCGGGGGCGGGGGGCTGGACTCGGCGGTGCCTGGCTCCGAGGCCGGCGGGGGGGCGGGGCGGCGCTGTGGGTGGAGCCTGCGCAGCTGGCGGCGGCGCCCTTTAAGCAGCGACGCTCGCCCGCCTCCCGCTTGTGCAGCCTGGGACCCAGCAGCGCCGCGCCGCGCCCGAGCAGCCCCAGCCCCGCCGCGCCCCCGCCCCCCACGTTCTGCCCTCATCGCGCCGCCGCCGCCAGCAGGAGCAGGCGGAGGAGGAGGAGGATGCCCCGCTATGAGCTGGCTTTGATCCTGAAAGCCATGCAGAGGGTGAGTGAGGGAGGGACCCGGCCCCTGCCCCGCTGCTTCCCCCGTGCGGCTCCCCCGCCAGCCCGGTGCAGCGCCCGCGTGTCCCCGGCCCGCTCCGCGCCCGGCGGCGCCCTAGCGCTCGGTGCCGCCCCTCCCGCCCCTGGCCCCTGGCTCGTCCCTTCGGCCTCCCGCCGCCCCGCGGGCTGACCGCGCACGTGCGTGTCATGGGGACGGGCTCGCAGGTCTCGCCTGCCTGGGGCTGCGCGGGAGGGAAAAAAGGGGACAAACCGTTGTGCCGGAGCCTGAAGGCCCCGGGCTTGGGCCGCTCAGCTGGGCAAGTGTGGGATGGGGAAGTGTGAGGTGCGCAACTGGCCCCGTGAAATAACCTCTCCCCCCCCCCCCCCCCCGCGTGCCCTTTCCTGCCCTTGCCCCGGCTCAGCTAGGACCATCCTGGAGGGTTGGCAAGCCTAGGCTCAGCACTGGTTCCACTGTGTGGCTCCTCTCCACACCTCTGGTGGCTTATAGCAGGTCAGTGCTTAATCTGTAATGAACAGGGTTCCAGAGTTCAAGCAATTTATTTAATTTTCATAACCGTTGTGTCAAGCCTAGAGATGCTAGAGCTGAGCCCTGGCACAAATTAGGCAGTAGTAGATGCTAGGATAGTTACAGCAGTGGCTGCTAGGTGCGCTCTCTCTCCTCACAAAGGCCTACAAGGAAGAGTGAAATCCTGATTTCACTCTTGTAAGTTACACCGTTACCTTTTTTGCAGGGGAGAGAGTGCCAGTGTTGTGACCGTCTGACCCTGTCCATGCTAGGGAAATCTTTCAGATGGTTTCCACTGTTGTTAATGCCAGTTGAGCTCCTTTGATAATGATAGAGCTCTCAGAGTGTCACTAGTGTGGGTTCTAGCCCACGAAAGCTTATGCCCAAATAAATTTGTGAGTCTTTTAGGTGCCACAAGGACATCTCCTTGTTTTTGCTGATACAGACTAACACGGCTACCACTCTGAAACTAGTGTTAAGGGTTGCCAGATACTGCCATGGTTTTGGGTGCCTAGGAACCGCCTTAGATGATTTTTAAAAAAAAAATAAAATTGCTCATAGGTCTGCACTGGGAGCCAAATCATTGTTGGCTATGTATGTATTTTTTTGTTTTTCTCTTAATTTCCCTAATGTGGGTAGGACTTTGAAACACACTTACTGTAAGGTTTCAGAGTAGCAGCCTTGTTAGCCTGTATTCGCAAAAAAAAGAGTACTTGTGGTACCTTAGAGACTAACAAATTTATTTGAGCATAAGCTTTCGTGAGCTACAGCTCACTTCATTGCATGCATTCAGTGTAAGGGGAATATTTGGTATTCCTCTTTCCTGTCCCTCATGCTAAGTTACATACACAACCCAACTTTCTCCACCACTATAAAGCTTACTGCATAGGGTCCTTGCACAATGCTAGTGTCTAAATGCAGCAGCTTTTCTATTAGTGGAGGTACCTTTATATATACATATAGTCTCTGTTAGATTTTTTTAAAAAAAGTGAGGTGTGGAGGTTACATTATACATTGCAGATTTTCTCCATTTGAATTGGGAGAGAAGGTATCGCAGATCCGACAACACAGTGACGTACAAACAAAAAACTATAAGTGCAAGCACGACTAGGAGTACTGTGGCTTTGAAGAGCCTCACAAGCATTCCTGGGGTTAGAACATGGTGAAGCAGAGATGTGCTTATGGTCACAGAATGCCTCGTATTTGCATTTATACATTATGGTAACAACTAAAATACTCTTTTTTTAAAAAGTTTGACTCTCCAGTATGTACTTTCTTAACAAATGTTCTGTTTTTAAGGCATTTCTGCAAACTAAAACGATTGGGTTAACTGTTTAGTATTTCTGGTGAAATTAAGCTAGGTATAGAAACTTAAGTTTTTCTAACCTACTCCTTGTATCATAACTCTAAAATCTAGAGTTCCTCTTAAGTCTCATTTTAATTGGTTAACTAACTTGCTGTCTACAAATATCTTGCTGCAGTTTGATTTTCTGTGCAGTTAAAACCCTTTAAAAAGCAATTCTGTGCCAACTGGAGCTTCCCTAAAGTGGTGGTGCTGAATCTCAAGAAGTGGATTGTTTTAGTGAGCCACATAAGATCTTTCCCTGCACAGCATATTGGTTTAAAAACTTTGTATTTTAAAGATTCTTAAGTGCAAAAATTATTACTAAGACTGTGATGTAAACACACCAAAGCAAGGAAATTCAGTTTGGGCTAATAGTCTGAAATCCTGTAATTAATTGCATTAGTCAATATTTATGACTTGAATGATTTAATACACACAATGGGGTCTTGAATAAACTAGATTTGAATTTGACACTATTTAGTATTTCCTGATCAAACAAAGAACCCTAGTGATGACTTTCTAGAAAAAGTTGAAATATTGTTTCTATATTTGAGACATCTTTGCAACTGCCATCCAAGAAATAGCATGTGAGACTTTGGTTCTGTCACTGTGTCCAGCTGGGGTCCAGCAGGCTTTGTATGGGAATATGGTGCTTAACTGCCACTTCTGCCTTTGACAATCTTCCTCTACCGTACTGAGGCCACAATAAGGATAGAGTGCTCCCAGGAGTTGCAGCACAAATGTATGGAGATGTACTTTCTGCCTTGAAGAGTTTACAGTCCCAAGATTACAAGTGATATGAAAGGTGAAGGTAGTAATGCACAGTAAAACTAATAATACAATACTTAAATTTTTTTTATTGTAAATCAAGTGCTAACTCTTTCTAACCACAAGCTGGCACTATACGCATTGTAGCAGAGGTGGGGCTTCAGGAGGAGAGCGTAGTGACGTTTCAAGTCAGTTCCAAGGGAATATATGGGGAAAGGGGAACTCTTCAGGAAACCACCTGCATATTCTCCCAGTTGTGGTGATGAACCTTCTAGTCCAGGGGTGGCCATCCTGAGTCTGAGAAGGAGCCAGTATTTACCAATGTACGTTGCCAAAGAGCCACAGTAACACATCAGCAGCACCCCCTCCCCGGCTCCCAGCACTTCCCACCCACCGGCAGCCCTGCTGATCAGCGCCTCCCCCTCCCTCCCCACACCTCCTGCATGCCACAAAACAGCTGATCAGGAGGTTTGGGATGGGATGGGGAGGAGTGAGGACATGGCAGGCTCGGGAGGGCGTGGGAAGGGATGGAGTGGGGGTAGGGCCTGTGGCAGAGCCAGGGGTTGAGCAGTGAGCACCCCCTGGCACATTGGAAAGTTGGCACCTGTAGCTCCAGCACCGGAGTCAGTGCCTGTACAAGGAGCTGCATATTAACTTCTGAAGAGCCACAGACTGGCCACCCCTGTCCTAGTCAGTGAGGGCTTGGAAATGGTTTTGTTGTGCTCTAATGCAGTTCCTCAGATTGACCTGAAGGGGGCAATATGAGACATTCCTCCAGGAAATGCTGGCAGCATGGGACAGAGGTAGGACCTATACTCTGATCCCTTGTGTGGCATTGCCTGTTGCTGCAACTTGACTTGTGAATTGGCATACCTCTCTTCAATAAATCCTACAGTTAGTTTTTTTTCTGATTCAGCTGTCTACTTTCATGTTAAATATTTTTAGTTCCCTTCAAGAGGAAAAAATATTCAGGGGTTTTGGGATGAATTCAGTTTCATAACCAATTGCATAGATCATGAAATATCAATTAACTTTTTTCATGTACAGTTCTCCTGTTTCAGCAAATTATTTCACTAATATCCTGTGATCCTGCAAAGCAGTGGTTCTCAACCTCGGTGCGCCGCTTGTGTAGGGAAAGCCCCTGGCAGGCCAGGCCAGTTTGTTTACCTGCTGCGTCAGCGGGTTCGGCCGATCGCGGCTCCCACTGGCTGCGGTTCGCTGCTCCAGGCCAATGGGGGCTGCAGGAAGGGCGGCCAGTACGTCCCTTGGCCCGCACCGCTTCCCCCAGCCCTCATTGGTCTGGAGCGGCGAACCAAGGCCAGTGGGAGCTGCAATCGGCCGGAGCTGCGATCGGCCAAACCTGCGGACGCGGCAGGTAAACAAACCGGCCCGGCCTGCCAGGGGCTTTCCCTGAACAAGCGGCGCCCCTAGGTTGAGAACCACTGCTCTAAAGGCTTCTCTTGCTTCTCAATTTGACTTTAGTATGTTCGCGTGCTAACTTTTTTTTTTGAGCATGTATTGTTTGCCATCCAAGCAGGATGCCATGTTTTAATAAATTCTCTGCCTGCTGTGAAGAATGTTCAGCTATATTAGGGAAACACAGGCTATGGACAAAAGGGCTGCCTGACAACTTGATCTCCCTCCCTCCCTGCTGGAGTAACTTGCAGGTAGTCCTCTTCCCCTCCCAGTCTCTCACTAGGCTCATAACTTTTTCACAGTAAGCTCTTCATGCAGTCTAAGTCAAAGACGTTAATTGTGTATTTCGTGCCTAACACTGTGAGATGTGTAGTCATTCTTCTTTTGTCATGAGTCCATAGTCTGGGTCCAGCTTCTCATGAGAGCTCTGTCTCCTGCTATAACTATTCTTGTGGAAGCACTTTTTTTTGCGAGCCTTGTATGTAAATAAACTTTCTAAGAGTACTACCTTCTGGACTGAAATATCTGATGTTTGGATGCTGGAGTGGGGAGAAAGGAAATGGCAATCTGTGTGGCTCATGGTCCATACAGCAATTCTGGATGTGAGCAGGCACAGACAGAGGCCTCATGGGTTGAGGAGAACAGTAGATAGTGGGCAGTGGATTGTGTAAATCAAGAAGTGTGATGGGAGCCCCTGAGTTTGGGATGTGAAGTAATACAGAAGACTGTGATTCAGGAAACCTGAGTTCTAATCTCGGCTCATTTATCTCGTGACTGGGCAAGTCATTTAATCTTTGTACTTCAGTTTGTCCACTTGTAAAATTTGCTCATCAGTCTAGCAGAGAACATGATCCAATAGCTGGAAGTTGAAACTAGACCAATTCAGGCTGGAAATAAAGCATATATTTTTAACTGTGAGGATAATTAGCCATTGAAACAATTTACCAAG